TAATCGGTTCTGTTATGCTCCACTTCATGTATGAGGTGTGCCAGCTGCATCGTCGTGGTACGCGTACTACGGCACGCATGCTGGTGCGGACGAGGCGTCCACAGCCAAAGCAGTCTCCTCAATGCCATTTTCTCAGCGACCTTACCCACGATGGAAGGAAGGCTGATGGGTCGATATGACTCCGTTAGCGCCGGCGAATTACCGGGTTTTAAGAGTGGGACGATGGTGGCTCGTCGCCACTGGACCGGAATCGTGCCGGCTGTCCGGCTGTGGTTGATGCGGCGGAGAGGGAGTCGGAGACACTTCGTCGAAAGATGTGGTAGCGCCTCGCTGTGGACTTCGTCCGGCCCGGGGCCTTGCCGTACGGTGTGCTGCGCAGCGCTGCACGCAGCTCTGTACGATTAAAAGAGGCATCCAGAGAGAGGGGAGAGAAGGAACCTATCGAAGATGAGGCGGCCGACTCGTTGTTGTTCTGCGGCCTAAGAAGGGGAGGGAGAAGAAATACACAAGGACTTGTTTTCCCCGTTTTTTCCCGTTGGAAGACCCAATCGCCTTGCGAGGTGGGGAGGAATCCAAGATTGAGCGCATCCGCTGCTCTCCTTGCTGTCCTGAAATTATTATTGCGGCCATCGCACATCAACGCCGTTGTGGGAGACGGAATTGATGTCTTTTTACGTCCGGAATGTATTTTTTAGGCGAGTGGTTTGCCTGGGTTTAACTTGCTGATGCGACGCCGATATTTGCTGCGCGAGCGCTCACGGAGTAGGAGGAAGAATTGGCTCCTTGCCCGTTGCGTCTCTGTTTCACGGTCGGGCGTCGGTAACTGCAGACAGCGGGCCTTGCTGTCGGTAGCAATCCGCTCTGCCTTCGCAAGGGTGTCGCCCCGGAGCTTGGGATCATCCTTGTGCATGCCGCGGGGTCAATGCCGTCGAAGTGAAACTGCAAGTGCTCTCGTAAAAGCTTTAATGCCGGTTGATTGCTTTTTATGGTCGCATGCTGGAAGTTGTGCGTCGAGGTCGTTGGCGAAGGACTCCCACTTGGACTTCCACCAGCTGTAGAAAACTCGACGCACCGAAGTGGGTGCCGAGGGCATGGTATCCTTAAATGCCTGATGCAGCGTGAATGTCAACACATAGTGGTCACTGAGCGGCGGCACATTGGCTGTCCAGTCGGACGCGGTAAGATGCCTTGACCATGTCCGGTCGATACAGGATCTCTCTCTTGCACCACGAGCATGCTTTGTTTCACCAGGGGTGTTAACCAAGGTGTGTCCTGCATCCGTGCGCGGTTGTATAAAATTCTACAGCGGAGTTGCTTGGAGGGGTCTCCAGGAAGGGCTCCCACCGTGGGCGACGCACGTTGAAATCTCCACACGGAATGAGCGGCGACGAGACCGAGAGGCAGCTCAGCAACCGCCTAAGGGTTGTGTCGGTTGCGGCGGTGGCCTCATATAGGTGCTCGCTACAATAAGATCACGGTTCTGGCCCAGCGCGAATTGTACCACCACCACGTCGAGGCTGGAATCACGTTGAGGAGTGATGAGGGGCATACGCTTGGAGCGGAGGTTTTTCCGCACCAGCACCGCTGCAACACATTCCTTGCGGATACGTGATTGTGCGTGGGGCACATACTCTCCAGTATGCATGCTGGCGATCTGCTCCGACGACTTCCAGGTCTCCCGGATGGCTATCATGTCTGCTCCCTGTGCCATTAATGTTGCGAGTTTGGCCGGCGCCAGTGAGGGAACGGTCATCTGGAGTGCTGCCATGGGGCTCGGGCTCCGCTCAACGTCTCCGCCTCGCAGTAGCTTTTGCCTCTGTGCGTCACATACGGCACGCAGACGACACGTGTAGCGCTGGTAAGCGCCGACGAAATCGGGCAGCAGTGAAACCCGCTCGTCCGTCGCATCGTCTGAATCCCACTGCTGCGACCCCCACTGCCGTCTGCACACTTCGTGCTTGCGTGCCCCCTGGTGACCGGGATGTGGTTTGGCCCTTCGCGCTGTATGCGCTTGAATTGTCCTTTCGCGACTCTTCGCTTGTCTTGGCCCTGGCCCCGGCGGTGTATTGAATGCGTTGCTGCGCTATCTTGTACCCGCAGCCCGCTGCTCGCTCAGAACGATGAGTGGCACCTCCCTTGCTGACGGCAGCCTGCGAAGTTCCTGGGAAACGGGGGACACTACTCGCATCCGCAGACACGGGAAGAACGCATGCCGCACGGAGAGTTGTCGCCCCCTCCCGCTGCTCTCTGTCCTGCTAGGGGTGAGCGAGGGAGTGGTCCACCGCCGCCTGTCAGCGCTGCTGGCACGCCACGACGCACGGTCTCCGACGTGGTGACGCCTATTCGTGACAAAACGGCACGAGGGCTGAGCGAGCGCATCGCCGTGGAGTGTGGGTGTCGCAGGGCGGCGTCCCGCGCTGCACCGTCGCCGTCGCCGCTCTCTCGCAGTCGCGACCGGCATCTCGACTGCGTTCGACGCCGTTGACGATGGTCGAGTGCTGACCGAACTCGGCGACCTCCCGCGCCTGTGCTGTCGAGCCCAACACTGGTTGCGCAGCCACCTGGGAGGCGGCCGCGTTGGGGTGAGTGATCGCAAACAATATTTCCGACAGTAGCTCGCCTCAGCCGGGGCAGCTCACCGCAGCACGTGGACAACACTGGTACGAGGAACACTTGTTTAGACGGGTGTGAGCTGCTGCCGTGCGTGGTGCATGGACTATTTGATTGTGTGGGGAGGTGCGTGGAGTGACGAATACTTCTGTTTGGCGTGTCGCGGTGTGTTGGAATGATGTTCGGAAAACATGTGAGGGGTGTTGTGTGTAGTTTGTGTGTCTTCTCTGGTGGAGCCGACATGTGTGCGGGATTGTGGCATTGCTGGCTGACAGTTCCACGTCACTTTTCGGCATTCCTGGATGTGCTGAGGAATGACGGCTGGCGACCAGCGTGTTGGTGCTGCTGGTGGGAATAAGTACACGAGGAATTGGCCATTTTCTCTTTCCCATGCTGGAGCCGATGAACTGGCACGAGGGCACCGGCTGCAGGCTGCCTGCCAGCACGTGTGAGCAGCGGATCCATGCACACGCAGACGCTCGTCGCAAGAGCTTGTGCGATCACAGTGGCTTTTGTGGCGTGCTTTTGTGGTCGTCAGCCCGTCGGAGAATGTGTGAAGCAAACGGCTGACTGCACACGAGGAAAATAAGTGCGTGCACTGTGCCGTGTTTCGGCGTCGATGGCAGAGCGGCAGGAGGCCCGTGCTGACAACTGAGATCTTTGCGTGGCGAGGGATGTCGGTGTTGATTTTGGATCGTCGAGGGTGAAGTGAATTTGCTGCTGCCCGTGTGTGTGGCCACTCCGGCGGAGGGCGAACACAAAAGGGAGGGATGCAGGCGCTGCGTGTGTGTGCCGGTGCCATGCAACAACGTCACAACAAACATGCTGCGACTCGGTGACCCTCACATCGCTGTGGTCCCCACGAACAGCCCGGGCACGGCCCGCATCGATGCACTTAGTGGACGGAGTGAGGCATCTTTTGAGGCGCTGCAGGGAGCAGGATGTGTTGACGCAGCCACGACGTGCATGGAGTGTCACGATGGCACAGCCGTCTGTGGCTGGTGGAATATTTACTTCTCGGAGGCAACAGAGAGAGAGAGAGAGAGCTGCTGCTGCTGGCGTCGTTGCTGCCTTTTGTGGTCTCCCATGCCGATTATTGTCTGTCCGCTGATCATGGGTGGTGTGCCTCCACTAGTGACGTCGTCTGCAGGCATTCCACAGCACCAGCGAAGCACACATCATGTCGCATGCTTTGGCTGTGGGTATGGTGTCGTGAATGCAGCCGGTATTATTTTGCCCGACTCCTTTTCACTGCCTTGCGACAAATAGATGCGTCGCCGCCCGAGTCATTCGCTGCAGCTCCGTGTGTTGTACTGCCGGCACAATACTCTCGTGTTGTCTGGCGCCTGGCTGACAGTCAAGCACCACTGCGCTGGGACATGCAGGGATGTGGACTGCCGCTCACGGTGTTGGGCACCGCTGTTTGGATGCGGCGGCCACACGAGCGGATGTATTGTGGCGCAATGAAATGCGTGAAATACGCGGAATCACAGCGGCTGCAATAATATCGACGGTGTGGCACCACGGAATATGTGTGAGGGGTGATGCATGATGAATCAGAGTGGGCGGCATGCGAGGGAAGTGCACCGCGACGGAGCGTCGCCCCGCCCTCAGCCTGCAGGGGAATGTACGCCCACAAAATATATGTTCGAGGCACCACCAAACACACATGCCCTTCTGTGCAGCAATAAATAGGAGCGAGGGTGCGTTCTGGTGCGTGGGAGTCCACTCACATATTCCCATTTCCACCGCAATAAACGGTGAGGAATCAGGTGCCACAGCAACGAAGGAGGGAATAAAAACATCTATTGCAGCACTTTTACCAGCGAAAAGCAGGAACAACACAAATTGAATTATTGGCTGCACCAACACAATAAAAATTCACAAGAGAAGGAAACAGTTGTGCACACTGCGGGAACCCCAACACGCGATGCAGGCATGAAGGTTTACCCTCCGCAAAAACAATAACAACATATGCAGACATCTTCCACCCTCCAAAAAGAAACACAAATAAATGGCTGCTTTATTCCATTCCTTGCGCTTGACTTTGCGTGTGCTGCTGCTGCTGCGGTGGTGGCTGCGCTTCCCGTGGACCAACAATCCACGTGGTGTGCGGGGATCTATTCTTTTTCATGGCTACTTTGCTGTTGTGTTGCTGTGTGCGCTGCACCTATTCTCGTGTGTGCGTGCCGCTCCTGTTTGCTTCTCCCTCCTCCATCTGTGTGTTGGTGTTGCGGCAGGGCTGTGTGTGTGTGTGCCTGGCTGCTGCCCTCTTCTCATGTGTGTGTCTGCCCTCTGTGTGTGTCTGCCGCACCTCTCGTCTCCCCTGTTGCTCTCCATGTCCCTCACTGTGCAGATCAGCTCCACACCACTGAACGACCACACTCACGATGATGACGTGCCGTCTGCTGTGCGCCCTGTTGGTGCTTGCCCTGTGCTGCTGCCCGTCCGTGTGCGTGACAGCGACGGAGGGTAGCGGAGAACAAAAAGGGGCCAACGGTTCACCAACTGCTCTGTCACCGGGAGCAGGTGGTGCAGAGTTAACAAGTACTTCGACGGAGACAAGTTCAACAGGTATGACAGTTACGTTAGCGAACAAGGATCAAGTGCGGGAACCCGCTCTGGCAGGGAACTCAGATACAGGAGGTTCGGAGAATATTCCAAAAGAGGTACCAGGTGGGTCCGATGAGTCAGGGTCGCCAGGTGGGTCAGTTAGCCCAGCTGCAGCACCAAGTTCCGTGACAGCTTCTGTACCGGCACAAAGTCAGAAGGAAAATGCGCCAACAACAACAACCACTACGACGACAAAAGCACCAACTACCACCACCACTACGACAACCACTCGCGCACCGTCACTTCTTCGCGAAAGCGACGGCAGCCCCAGCAGCTCTGCGTGGGTGTGTGCCCCGCTGCTGCTCGCCGTATCCGCGCTGGCGTACACCACTCTGGGCTGAAGAATTGTGTGCGGGCTGTGCGTGCCAGCACTCAACCGCGGGGACTTGTGTGCGTCCACTGTGGTCCGATGTGCTAAACAGGATAAAATAATGATTGTGTTTTGCTTCACTTGCTTCCGCTGCCCTGCTGTGTGCTCCTTGCCGCTCCCCGCATCCGTCACGTTGAACGCACCCCAGACACACTCATGTGCATGGCACGCACACAACTGATTGCGTGGAGTCGCATTTGAGGATGGGTGCGTGCGCGCTGGAGCCATACTGTGCAGCCCTTTTTTGTGTGTGTTTACATTTTAACTTCATTGCTGTTCGTTTACCTGTGTTTTGTTTCTAATTGTTTTGTGTGTTTTTCTGTTTGCTTGCTGCGGGGCGTTGTGTGTTTTTGCCCTTTCACTGCTTTCAACTGCCTCATGGTGTGTGTGCGCTGCCGCTGCTGGGCTGCTGCCATTTGTGACTGTGCGGTGGCTGTGCGTGGTGTAGCGGCCGTGTCTCTTCTTCTGCTTCCGCTCTGCGTTGACGGGGAGTTAGTTTGTGCCGAAGGCTGCAGGCAAGTGACAGGAGTGATGGCGATGATGATGACTGGCCGTGTGCTGCTGGTGTGTGCCCTCTGCGTGCTTTGGTGCGGTGCCGGCGGGGCTGATGCGAGTGATCTCGGGAACAACGCAGTTGGTGGCTGCATGGCGTCGTGGGTGTTGAATGCGAATAAATCGTATACGCCGAGCGGATGTGACAAAACTGCGCTGACGCTGCCTTTACGATCTGTCTTGTCCATCACTGCCGTTGCAGCTTCGACTGACCCTTTGGTGACTGGTACAGCCGAAAATAAATCGGATTTGGCTCCGAGTTCAGGTGCTGATTTCGGTGGTGCCGGTTCTCCTCCTGGTCGCGGAGGTGAAGGTGGAGGCGGTAGAGACGACGGTGCTGGCGGTCCTGGTGGCGTTGGAGGTGCCAGTGGCAGTCAAGCTCGTGGCAGCAAAGCTTCTGTTGGCGGTGGTGGTGGCTCAAATGGAGGTTCTAAAGCACGTGTTGATGGCTCTTTGAAGTCCCCTGCTTCGGATGTCAAGTCCCCATCTCCTGTTCTCGGTGATGGTGGCAGTTCTCCTGGGGCTCCTACGGGAAGTGTAGGTTCTGACGGAAGCAAAAGCTTCATTTTGGGCTCCTTCTCTTCTGGTGGTCGCAGTCAACCTGATGTTGGCAGTCCAGGTGGTGATGCATCTTTGAGCGCTCCTGTTGCTGGTGGTAATTCCCCACCCTCCATCACCGACGAGAGTGATGCGTTGGAGAAGACCGGCGCTGCGGCATCCACAAAGGGATGGAAACCTCAAGAAGCAGGTGGGCAGTCAGGAGCAAATCGTGCACGGAACGAATTGCCCGAATTGTCGGCACCAGCGGAGTCAACACCCGAAGCACAAAAAGACTCTCCCAGTAAACAAGAAAAACCAGAAGGTGAAGCTGCTGGTAGGGCCGCAACTGGAGAAGAGAAACGGCGGAGTGACGCGGAGGCACAAGGTCCTTCCACCGTGATGTCCACCGCCAGCACCAGCAACGGTAGGAGAACGACCAACAGCAGTGGCAGTTCCGGCAGGAGGAAGCCCAACGGCACAAACAGACTCGCAAACTTTGACAGAAGAAAGGACAAAAACGCCACCGTCACCAAACAAAAAGGAGCCTGAAGAGACAGAACCTACTTCTGGAGATGGTGTGGCAGAGCAACAGGGTCAAGGCACAGTTTTACCGGATCTGAGGGGTGGACCTACCGGCAGCCCGGCGGAAGTAACGGCATCATCCATCTCTAAAAGTGGCAGTGGTGATGGCCGGAGTAGGGCGGATGAGAATGACGACAACAGCAAAGGGCCCAACCCCGGAGGGCCACACAACGACCCCGAAGCCAGTCATACCAACGTTGCGCCCACGGCCAGTGAGACAAAACCACGTACAGCGAAAGCAGCAGCTACCGCTCCAGCAAATGGTACGGCTACGCCTGGCAGCAGTGACGGCAGCACCGCGGTCTCCCACACCACCTCCCCTCCTTTGCTTCTTCTTGTTGCGTGTGCGGCTGCGGCTGCGGTGGTGGCCGCGTGAGAGTGAGGGAGAGAGAGCCGTGCACCGCCCGCACACACACTCGTCCTTCTCTTTCTCTGTGTGTGTGTCCCCTTGCATGGACTCTCGCCCTCACCTCACCCCACGAGGCACACAATAATGTGCCCATTGTATATATGCATGCACACCCATGCAGGCCCGTTGGTGCTCTCTTTTGAGCCACACGCACCGCTGCCGTCCTGCCTGGCTGCATGGGCGGAGCACCGTAACTGTTTCTGTTTTGTTTTTATTGCATTGAGTGGTCGACCTCTCTCTCTCTCCCTCTGTGTGTGTGTTTTGCTTTACGGGAGCAACGAGAGAGTGTGCGCTGGTCGTCCCACCTGTTGCTGCGCGTCCCCACTGCTGGGTGGACGCCCCCACGCTTCGGCTTTTGTTGTTGGTATTTTTTATCCTCTGCCTGTGTTGTGGTTGAGTGCACCCATTCCGCGGGCTGCATGTGTGTGTGTGTGATGATATGAGTAATTTGTGTGTGTGCCATCCGCCTCTCTCTGCCATTGCTTTCTTTTGGCTCTGTTGTGCCGCACAGCTGCTCTGCAAGTATAAAGGCCGACAATCACATGCACACACACGAACGCCCTTTCGTATCGTGCACGCTGAGAACGCAAATGATCCTGGCTGCGGCGGCCCTCACGATTGGGGAGGACGGGAGACCGCGATTTGCCTTTTTGACGCAGTTGTTGTGTTTGCGGCGTGCGGCCGGTGAGTGGTGTGGCATGGAGAGTGCCTGGGACAAGTGCGGACTGTTTCCTGCCGTGCAGCTGCACGTGCCGACGTGTCTCTCCCGCTGTGGATACGTCGGCCAGGGACTCTCCGGCTGTGCGGGGAGAGACAACAGTGAAACGACTGGCGGCAGCGCGTGTGTGCTGCGAAGGGTGGCTGCGCCATTTGGCATTCCGCTTTTTGTGTGTGGGCATTGCTTGGTGTGTACTGACGTGTGACGGACGACACACGCCGTGTCTTCTGCTGCTGGTGGTGACAGTCGCTCTGTTTTCCCGGTGCACTGTTCTTTCTTCTCCTGTGCCGTGTGTCTGTGCGCGTGAGTTGCTGTTGTGGGGATTGACTGCGGCGCGGATGATGGTGCCACTCACTATGGATGCTGGCGGTGCTTATTCCTTTACTTCTTTTGGTGGCTTTTTTCCTCTTTTTATTTCCTGCTCACTATCTCACGAAGAAGAAAACAAAAGCGCTAAACGCTACTGTGAAGTTGGAAGGCACTGAAAGGACCAACAACACGCACACACACCGCCCACGCACATATTTATATGCTCCCACGTGTTTCTGCAGTGAAGGCACCCCGCACACACAACCGTCGCCGCGTGACCGGATCCAGCGGAAGGAGGAGGGAAGGAAGAGAGAGTGAGCCGCGGAGGCCCAACACGTCCCGGCGTGTGTTTAATTCCGGCGTGCTGCTCCTTCTTGTTGTAATGATGTGCTGTGGCAGTGGAGGTGCAGCCGCTGTGGAGAACAGCGATTCAGTGGCGGATCCAACGTTTGAATGGAGGAGTATCACTGATGATGAGGGTGTAACTGTGGACTCGCTTCGTGTTCCCGGCCTTCTAAAAGTGGGGACTGTCGTATTTGCCGTCGCCGAGGCGCAGTGCAATAAAGGAGGTGAAGGCAGCTTTACAGGCATTGCATCCGAACTTCTCACGGATCCAACAGATAAAAACCGGTGGAATTACTGAATGAGGCCAAAAAGGATACACAAGTCCTGGAGGAGGGCGCTCCCGCAAAGAAAAAGAAAGTAGGTGTGAGCCGACCAACAACAGTTGTGAATGGAACTGATATTTACATGCTTGCTGGAAAATACAGCCGGACAGCAGCTGCTAAAGACGCTCAGGAGAGGGGCGCAGGTGAGTGGGGACTTTTGCTGGCGAAAGGGAAAGTCAGTGATGGGGACAGTGGCAGTAACAAAAAAATCCAATGGAATTTGAACCAGCGACTGGTCGACACTCTCTTTAAGCGCGAACAGGATTCCTTGATGCAGCTGGTTGCAGGCGGTGGATCGGGTGTTAAGATGGAGGACGGTGCGCTTGTGTTTCCCGTGGAAGTAACGAAGAAGGGTGAATCAGAAAACGACGGAGGGGAAGGAAAGAGTGTCTCACTGCTCATATACACTTCGGATACTTCGGATGATTCGAGTTGGAAGCTGTCGAAGGGGATGTCTGACGGTGGCTGCGGTGATCCCTCCGTCGTGGAGTGGGAGAAGGAGAAACTCATGATGATGACTGCGTGCGATGATGGCCGCCGCAGGGTGTACGAGTCCGGTGAAAGGGGGAGTCGTGGACGGAGGCACTCGGGACACTCTCGCGCGTGTGGGGCAACAAACACGAGGAACAGACGAAACGTGCTGCGAGCGGGTTCACCACAGCGACTCTTGGAGATGACAACAAAAAAGTGATGCTCGTTACTCTGCCGGTGTATTCTAAGGAGAAGGGCAGCGAAAACAAGGAAAAGAGTGAACTCCACCTTTGGCTGACGGACAATACGCGCATTGCTGATATTGGGCTCGTGTCCGAGAAGGACGAAGACGAAGTTGCCGCCAGCTCCCTGCTGTACGAAAGTGCTGAAGGTGAAGGTAATAATAAGGAGGAGGATAATTTGATTGGATTGTACGAGAAGAAGAAGAAGGGCGATGAGAAGCCATCACACAGTCTTTGGTCTGTGCGTCTGACTGAGCAGCTGAAGCGGGTGAGGGAGGTGCTGGCGACGTGGAAGAAAGTGGACGAAGCTGTCTCCAAGCTGTGCCCCACTGCAAGTGCTGCGAAGAGTGCCTTGACTGAGAATGACTGCAGCGCTGGGGAGATCACGGCTGGGCTGGTTGGCTTTTTGTCCGACAACTTCTCTGGGAACACATGGAGGGACGAGTACCTCGGGGTGAACGCCACGGTGAATCATAATGGTGGAGCTGAGAAGGCGAAAGACGGCGTGAATTTCCGGGGAGCGTGGGCGGAGTGGCCTGTTGGCAGGCAGGGGGAGAATCAGTTGTACCACTTTGCGAACTGCAACTTCACTCTTGTGGCGACGGTGTCCATCGACAAGGCGCCGGAGGGAGATAACCCCATTCCATTGATGGGTGTGCGTGCGGGCAGTAAAGGAGAAACCAAACTTATGGAGTTGTCGTACAACAGCGGAAAGAAGTGGAAATTGTTTTGCGGTGGCGACACGACCAATGAGCTCAGCAGCCATTGGGAAGCAGGGACAGCACACCAGGTGGCCATTGTGCTACAGAACGGTACCCAGGGCTCTGCGTACGTTGATGGTAAGCGCGTGGGTGCTGCGCCATGTGAATTGGAAAATGCGGATTCGGAAGAGATCTCGCACTTCTACATTGGAGGGGATGGAGACAGCGCAGAGGTCCGAGAAGTCGTGTCTGTGACTGTGAAGAACGTCTTTCTGTACAACCGCCCGTTAACTTTTTCAGGTGGGGATGCCGATTTGGAAGAGGCTCCCCACTTACCACCGGCAAATCCGCAACCAACTGAAGCCGTTCCTCAATCGGTGGAAGGGGATCAAAAGGCGATGCCTCCTGCGGGTAAGCCTTCTGAAGCTCCAGGGGAGCAAGCGACCTTGCAGCAGCCTCCAGAAGAGCGTGAAACACAGAAAAAAATACGACGGTGGGGGAATCTGCCACCACACAGCAAGTGCCGGCGAATCGATCGCAGGGAAGTGTGGGGAGTGCGGCGGCTCTGAACTCCCATGCCGTTGGAGGAGCAACGGGTGATGGCGGCACTGTGCGTGGGAGCGGACTGCTGCCATCGCTGCTGCCGCTTCTGTTGGGACTGTGGGGGTTTGCGGCTCTGTGAGGAGTGGCTGGCTGCCGCGTGGGTCACTTGCGACCTCCGCTGCGGAGAATTACTTTTCCCCTGGAAGGAATTTCTTTTCTCATAAAACATCTTTTTTGTTGTTGTTTTTATAAATTCTTTTGTTTTTGTGCACTTTTTTTGTTTTTCTTGTGTTTTAATGTTTTCTTTTTATTTTGCTCCTCCCATCCCTTTCTTTTTTGCTTTTGGGGCAATCACTATGGACGTTTTTCTTTTCTACTCTTCCCTCTTTAATTGTTTGTTCTGCACTCTTCCTGCGAGGGGTGCCGTGTGTTCCCGCCCAACTGCTCCACTCGCACACCCACCGACACGCTCACGACGACGGCCCTGTGCGCCTCGCCTGCTGCACGCATGAGGAGGGGCCGCGACGAACGGCGCGCTGCGGGAGCCGTGACGTGTGGGCGTGCGACGAGGGCCTGTGGGGCGGCGCACACATTTCTTCCCTCTTGTTTTGTTTTCTTTTGCGGCCAGGGCTGGCAGACACCCGCAGCGCCACACACACAGCCACACCCTGCCGCCGTGTTTTTCTTTTCTTTTTTTTTTTTTTTGCGCCGGCGCACCCTTCGGTGTCGGCCTCGTGAGCATTTCTTTTCTTCTCTGATGATTTTTTTTTTTTTTGCTGCGCTCACTCTCCCGATGGAGTGACGCGACTGCCGTCGTGTCTGCGTGCTTCTCTCAGCCTCCACACACGAGTGACTGTGCTCTGCGGGCCGCACTCACGCGCCGATGAGAGGGCTGAGGGGAGCGGCAACACGCAGATGACCGCATGAAATATAAACGATGTGCGGACACATGGAGGGTCGGACGGCTGAAAGGCATTTAAATATCTTTTAGTTTTAATTTGGGCAAAATATGCAGACAGTTTGGTGGGGCCACAAGGCAGCCGGCTGCTTTTTTGAATTTGTGTGGAACAGTAGTGGACGATTTCTTTTTCTTTTATAATTATTTTGTGCGATGGGGTTTGTGTAAGACGAAGGGGGTGGTTTTCTTTTTGTTTTGAATAAATATTGTGTGAATCGCCACTGCTTGGGCTGCGGTGCAGTCATGAGTTTGAGCGGTCTTCTTCTCGTTGTTTCCGCCACGCACCCTCGCTGTACATTTTTAGTTTTGTGCGTCTCTCCACAAACTCCGCTCCCTCTTTTCTAATTCTTTGCCTCGTGTTTCTGCAGGCACACACAACCACACACACAAGACGCACATCGCAGTGGATTTGAATTCCTCTTTTGCAGTGCATGCTGGCAGTTGCGTGTGGCGGCCGTTGTCTTCTTCTGTGGTCATGAGGAGGCGGGAGGGAGGGAGGGAGTGTGCAGCCCGAGTCTATTTTCCTGCGGGTGTGATGCACCGCGTGTGGCTGCGTTGAGTTGGGCTCCGTGTCGCTTTGAGGGCGGGATGGCTGGAATTTTGTTTCCGCCTCGTGGATGGATGAGGGTTCGCCTGCTCATTGTGTGACTGGTGTGGTGGCCGCGGGTTTTAGCCACTTCCCTGGGGCTGCGGAGATGAGCTGGGGGAGATGGTGGTGGATGTCTTCTCCTCCTGCATGGTGGGTGGCTGCTGGCGTTGTTTGCCCTCCTTGCGTGGATGCCGTCTCGTGGTGTGTGAACTGTGCGGCTGGGCCTGCTGTCCTCTCCTCATGTTGTCTGCTCTCTCTCGCTGTATCCGCTGTGCTCCGTCCCTCTCCCTCTTGTTGCGTTCTTTTTCCTTCTGCCTCACGGATCGGCTGACTGACTCCAGCGACTCCACCACGAGTGATGACTGCGATGGTGACGGTGCGGCGCCGTGTTGGTCCTTGCGTTCTTGTGCTGCTGCTCGTCCGTGTGCGTGACGGCTGCTGGGAGTCCTGGACATGTATCTGGTGCTGCGGATGCGGTGGTTGTGCCGGTGGATGTGTCATGCCCTCAGAGTGACGGCAGCCTGAGCTATCGCTTGTGCGTGGGCGTGGAGGAATTGTTTCGCTGCCAGTGCCGAGGCTCAGCATGAGAATTATACGTTCAGTGGCTTTGATGTGCACATGCATGGCAGGAATGGTGAGCTGGGTGCTGTGTGCCATGTGGCCAATGCGGCGCACACATGTAGCAACTGTGCAAGGAAAGAGGAAGGGGCCACCGTTGCCTTCACGATGAATGTGACGACACATAAATACGCCGGCCCTTATGAATTGTGGCGGCGTCAATTTCCCCCCGATGGAACCATCCATCCGCCCGCACGGAGCAGCGATGCTGACCAGACGGGCATCGGTCAGTTGCCGCCACCCCGTGAAGAGAAGGACGACACAAAATCTGGTGGGACAACTGCGTCGCAAGTGACTTCTGAGCCGTCACGTCAGAACGAGGATCGGCGATGGTCTGCGGCGGCTGACGGACCCAACACCGTCGATCCGAGTCCCGCATCCAACGCGGCGACCAACACGTCCGAGACGAGGCCTGAGTTTGCCACCAATCCGAGCGGAGTGATGGTCCCGAATGCATCCAAGAAGAGGCCTTCCTTTGCCAACGGTCCGAGAATAGTAGCGGCGTCGAACGCATCCGGGATCGTTTCTGTCACTTGTGGCGGCAGGGAACACGTTTCCGCGGATAACACGGACGAGGTGAGTGAGCGCGGCGCCACTGGGCACAAAACTCCTTTCTTCAGAAAATGGCGCTGCAGGCAGTGGATTTGTTGCTGAGGGTGATGCGGGCGGATTGACTCAACGCCATGCCTCTGGACACGAAAGCAAACCCCTATTACAAAAACTCACTGCGCAGTATTCCGGGAGCGGTGTGGGTCTACACGACTGCTTTGCCCAGCGCTGCGACGCGAAATTGACACTGCGAGAGTTAACTGTTTCCAGCACTGCGCGTGTGTGCGTGTATTGGGCGTTGCTGCTTTTTATTGTATTGTGTGGGGTTGTGGCAGTCTTGTGAGCCAAAGAGTGTGGAATTGCGAATTCTCACGGAGAACATGTGCCGCGTTCCCTGCGTGATTTCTTTTAATATTTACATCTTACTGTTGTTTTTTGTTGTTTTCCTGGAATGATAAGTATCCTTGCTGTTCCTTTATTTAATAGTTCGTTCCTGCCCACCGTCATGAGTGACGTGATTCCCCTCTTTCTGTTTGCTGTTTTGTTGCCCACACGCGGTGCCGGCCTCATTGCTGTGCGTCCCACGGAATGCACGAAGGGAGGAGTGGAGGAGCAGGCCGGATGCCGCATGAAATGTGAGGGATGTTGTGTGGGCTGGCGGAACAATAACGTGGTTTTCTTTTTTCTTTTTATTGCTGCAGGCATTATGAACATACAGAAGCACATGGTCGTTTTTAGCTGCTTGGCACATGAAGTAAAAGTCCTGCCGAAAGAATTTTATTTATTTATTTATTTTGGGAGTCCCGCTGGAATCTAAACCTCGGTTGTTTTTTATATTTCCGTTTTGCGGGGCGTTGTGTGTTTTTGCCCTTTCACTGCTTTCAACTGCCTCATGGTGTGTGTGCGCTGCCGCTGCTGGGCTGCTGCCATTTGTGACTGTGCGGTGGCTGTGATGACACACCGCAGGCTTCGCCTTCTGGCTCTGGTGGCGGCACGGTTGTTAGTGATGGTGGTGGGAGAATAATGAGGACGGCTCTGGTGTGTTGGGTTGTGCCACTGAGGCCAAAAGGATGGGCATCGTTTAGGGGAGACGGACAATAATGCGGCAGCGGTAACGGGGGAACTGTCCGAAACACGCATCCCCGAGTCGTCGATGGAAGAACCGTCTTTGCCACCACCGCTGCAGCCGGACTCGGAAATAACGTCTCCTCAAGGGCCGGATGAAGCCGCACCAGCGAAGAGCATAACCTCCACAGTGCAGCGGATGAAAAGGGCGAGGCCGATTTGGGCGGCACGCGGATCGCATCCCGTGAGGCTCCCGTCACGCAGTCCACATCATCGGGCACTCCAACTGGCCCCACTGCTGCTGCAATGACGCCTGCAAACAGACAGGGTGACGATTCCGCTGATACTCCAACAGCACGTAAAAAAGATTTGAAAGCAACCGAGCGCACCGCCAGCAGTGATGCGCTGAATACTCGGGAGAGTGACAGTAGCCCGCAGCTATTCCAGCCGTACAGCCTTACGCCAATACGGGCAGGACGGGGGTCTTTGACGTTGGGAGCAGCTCCGGGAGAGTTGAACCCGCCGCCTCCACAGACGACGAACAGAATGATACGAAGTCATAACTTCAGAGCGCATCCGACGGCACGGGCACCGCGGCAGACAACAGTGAGGGGTTCACAACTGTACCAACAACACCACTAATAAAATGAACGTCTGACGACAGTGACGGCAGCACCGCGGTCTTCCACACCACCTCCCCTCTTTTGCTTCTTCTTCTTGCGCGTGTGCTGCTGCCGCGGTGGTGGCTGCGCTTCCCGTGGACCAACAATCCACGTGGTGTGCGGGGATCTATTCTTTTTCATGGTTACTTTGCTGTTGTGTTGCTGTGTGCGCTGCACCTATTCTCGTGTGTGCGTGCACTCCGTGAGGGGTGCCGACACGACGGACCGCTCTCGCCGTATGTACATGCGGTGGAGCCTTGTGTGCCGCTCCTGTTTGCTTCTCCCTCCTCCATCTGTGTGTTGGTGTTGCGGCAGGGCTGTGTGTGTGTGTGTGCCTGTTGCCGTGGATTGGAGTGTGTGGTGTACGTGGTGTGCGGCGTACGGTGCATGCCTGGCTGCTGCCCTCTCTCCTCATGTGGTGTGCCCTCTGTGTGTGTCTGCTGCACCTCTCGTCTTCTCTGTTGCTCTCCATGTCCCTCACTGTGCAGATCAGCTCCACACCACTGAACGACCACACTCACGATGATGACGTGCCGTCTGCTGTACGCCCTGTTGGTGCTTGCCCTGTGCTGCTGCCCGTCCGTGTGCGTGACAACGAGTAGTGGCGATCAAGTTGGGGACAGTGGTTCAACGCTCCCTCAGCCACCGGGAGCAGGTGTTCCAGGGCCCGGTGGGGCAGGGAGTCCAGATCCAAAAAGTCCGGACGTCACGTCACCGAAACCCGAAATTCCGGAAGGTGAAAATTCCGCATCACAAGCATCAGGTCCGGCAGCCGGTATGCCAGGGAGTCCACATACACCAATTCCGGAGTCTATTCCAAAACAGGAACAGGCACCAAGTTCCGTGACCGCTTCGGTACCGGGACAGAGTCAGAAGGAAAATGCGCCAACAACAACAACCACGACTACGACAAAAGCACCAACTACCACCACCACTACGACTACGGAGGCGCCAACTACGACGACCACCCGCGCACCGTCACTTCTTCGCGAAAGCGACGGCAGCCTCAGCAGCTCTGCGTGGGTGTGTGCCCCGCTGCTGCTCGCCGTATCCGCGCTGGCGTACGCCACTCTGGGCTGAAGAATTGTGTGCGGGCTGTGCGTGCCAGCACCCAACCGCGGGGACTTGTGTGCGTCCACTGTGGTCCGATGTGCTAAACAGGATAAAATAATGATTGTGTTTTGCTTCACTTGCTTCCGCTGCCCTGCTGTGTGCTCCTTGCCGCTCCCCGCATCCGTCACGTTGAACGCACCCCAGACACACTCATGTGCATGGCACGCACACAACTGATTGCGTGGAGTCGCATTTGAGGATGGGTGCGTGCGCGCTGGAGCCATACTGTGCAGCCCTTTGTTTTGTGTGTGTTTTTACATTTTTAACCTCATTGCTGTTCGTTTACCTGTGTTATGTTTCTAATTGTTTTGTGTGTTTTTCTGTTTGCTTGCTGCGGGGCGTTGTGTGTTTTTGCCCTTTCACTGCTTTCAACTGCCTCATGGTGTGTGTGCGCTGCCGCTGCTGGGCTGCTGCCATTTGTGGCTGTGCGGTGGCTGTGCGTGGTGTAGCGGCCGTGTCACTCCTTTTGCTTCCGCTCTGCGTTGACGGGGAGTTAGTTTGTGCTGAAGGCTGCAGGCAAGTGGCAGGAGTGATGGCGATGATGATGACTGGCCGTGTGCTGCTGGTGTGTGCCCTCTGCGTGCTGTGGTGCGGTGCCGGCGGCGGTGGCTGTAATGACACACCGCAGGCTTTGCCTTCTGGCTCTGGTGGCGGCAAGGTTGTTGGTACTGATGCTGGCCGAAGTGGTGAAGCTGGCAGTTCTGTCACAGTAGAAGGTGTTGTGAGAGAGGAGGATGATCAAACGAGTGGCGGTGGTCCTGCTGGGAGTGAGGGCCAAGAGCCGAAGGGAAGTGTTGGGAAACCGGGAGAAGTCGAAAATACAAAAAATGTAAATTCGCCGGCAGGGAAAGGAACAGGAGCAACAGCAACTCCTCCTCCTCCAGTAGGACAAGGACCAGCAACTCCACCAGAAGAAACGAATAATTTGACGAAGCCAACGAATCCCGATGTATCAGCAACCCTCGGTACGACGACAGGACTACAATCAGCGCAGCAGTCACAATCGCCGGCGGGTGAAGAACCAACAGCGACAGGCGACGGTTCGCCAGGGCCACAAACGGCAGCCGCATCAGATGCCACGCGGAGCACACCAGCAGGGGGTGACGCTGAGCCAACATCCCCATCCCCAGGCGGCCAGGCTGCTGCCGGCGGTCCGGGTGAAAACTCCGCAGCGGAGGGGACTCCCAACGGCACCCCGCCGCCTGCTGCCGCGGTGACGCACGAGGACAATACCAACACCACCGACACGGCCATCAGCGAGGGAAATTCTACGGCGGCAGGCATGCCAGCTCCCCTTTCCTCCGCGCCCCCAACGAAAGCTCTGGAGAGCAGTGTGGGAAGTGACGCCTGCTTCCATGACACCCGTCTGCATGCCCCGCTGCTGCTCGCCGTATCCGCGCTGGCGTACACCACTCTGGGCTGAAGAATTGTGTGCGGGCTGTGCGTGCCAGCACCCAACCGTGGGGACTTGTGTGCGTCCACTGTGGTCCGATGTGCTAAACAGGATAAAATAATGATTGTGTTTTGCCTCACTTGCTTCCGCTGCCCTGCTGTGTGCTCCTTGCCGCTCCCCGCATCCGTCACGTTGAACGCACCCCAGACACACTCATGTGCATGGCACGCACACAACTGATTGCGTGGAGTCGCATTTGAGGATGGGTGCGTGCGCGCTGGAGCCATACTGTGCAGCCCTTTGTTTTGTGTTTTTACATTTTTAACTTCATTGCTGTTCGTTTACCTGTGTTTTGTTTCTAATTGTTTTGTGTGTTTTTCTGTTTGCTTGCTGCGGGGCGTTGTGTGTCTTTGCCCTTTCACTGCTTTCAACTGCCTCATGGTGTGTGTGCGCTGCCGCTGCTGGGCTGCTGCCATTTGTGACTGTGCGGTGGCTGTGCGTGGTGTAGCGGCCGTGTCTTTTCTTTTGTTTTCTGTGCTTTTGCAGGCGGATCCACAGCGTTGGGCAACTCCACTGTTTGTGATGATGACTGGCCGTGTGCTCTGCGTCCTGTTGTCTCCTGCAGTGATGTGCAACAGCTCGTGCGTGTTTTTGACGGCTGCTGCGACGGTGTGTGTGTGCGGCCCGCTGGTGATGGCGCGGTGACTGCTGAGCACGCGCGGGCTGTGATGGCTGCGGAAGGAGGACCGTGGCCGGTGGCTCTGGACGAAAGGGGAACGTGAACTCTGAGGTTGATAGCAATCAGGAAGACGAGGAGGGTGGAGAAAACACGGCGGCTGAGGACCCTAATCCCACCGCCGCAGGACCACTCACTGCTCCGACGAGGCAGGATCAATCCTGCAGCGACCCACTGCGAAGTAACAATTGCAATCCGTCCGGCACTGGCAGCGCCCCTGCCGCTCAGATGCGTGCAAATGGACCGGAGTCTTTGGGCGGAGGGCACGCTGGTGGCGGGAGGACCTCCCAGGGAAGTGAGGCTTCGGAAAAACCGTCACGGGACAGTCACAGTGCCAGGGACGGCAAAGGAAACACCGCAAGACGATGAAGGAGGAGAACCCGGAGCGCAACACGAGGCCGACCAAACAACGAAAATGACTGTGATGACTTGTTGCGCGAAACAGCAGTGGAGCAGGAGGGTCACCAGCGAGGTCGCAAGGTGCGCCACGACCCGATGGTGGCGAGAATGCTCATTATTACTTTTCCCTATTCTTACCGGCGCGTCTAGCTATCCAATGCCTTCTGGGTGCCGAGGAGGCGGTTGAGCAGCGGAAAAAGCTTCCTGCTGTGAAGCAACTGCCATTGAGAGAACTTTTTGGTGCGTGGATCTTCCTGAATGCCCAGCCGTTGGCGTGCAGCGGAGGTGCCTGGGCATTCTAGAAGCAGATGGCGAAAGGTTTCCTGCGTGCCAACTGGCGTGCCTGTGGAGGTTGGCTGATCCTGCAGTGGCAGCGACCGCTTCCTGGCACCACAGAACGAGTAGCGGTGAGTGTCTTGGCGAATGGTACAGCGCCACTTGTTGCTGGGCTGGGCAGTAAAGCATGTTTACGGGTCCGTGTGCCATATGGGCGCGATTCCATGTTCCGTGTGTTGTCCGATTGCCATGGTCTGCGTCGCATGCTGAGCCGCAGGCTCGTTAGCATGCACTCCACAATGTCCGTAACAAAACTACCGGTGCACTGACCGGCCGGCACGCATCAGTGTCAAGAGACGCTGCCAGATCCGGTCCTTGTTGAGGGCCGCTAGGAGAGACTGGCTTTGTGTCGCCACAAGCGGGGTTTTTACGCCTGTGCTGGATCCGAGGGATAATCAGCCACTCCAGGGCCAGGAGCAGCGCACTGGATTCCGTCCTGCAGCTTCAAGGGCGTGTGCCGCAGTTGTTACTTACTTTCTCTATTATCTGCGAGGAATGCAGGGATGAAGGCGGTATGCCAACCCCGGCTGGCGTGGGAACGTCGAAATCGCCATCCGTTGCGAGTATCCACGAGCGGTGGCTGTGCAGCGCTGGAGCCTCTTCGCGGACTCTGCGCATTTCCCGTGTCAGTTCTTTGTCGTCGGTGATCGAGTGGTCTATCGGAAGTTCCACACCGATGGTGACCCGGTGAGCGGAGGCCGCAGACCAGGGAGGAATGGAGCCGCGAAAGAACCGCTCTTCGCGTGGTGAATCCTCGGTGATGCCGTAGCCCTTTGCGCATGCGTCTACGAAGGCATATGGCTCGTGCCGAGACAACGGCGGGATGCGGAAACCAGCGCGAGGCGAAGGCTCAGACGTTGATCTCCGCTCCCAGTCCATCTGACAATTGCGTGTGCTATCAAACATGGAGAGCCGCGTGCAGGCGGACGACATGGAGCGGCGGTATATTTGCTTCTAGGAGTGCGGATTACTGGTCGACAGTGCTCGGAACTCCGCTGACAATGCGTGCCAGACCTGCGTACGTCTCTTGCATCTCATTCTTCGCTGAATCCGTCGCTACTGCCCATATGAGCTCGCTGCCGTAGCGCAATTTGGATGCACCGTATCCGATGATGAACGTGCGTGGGTCATGTGGAGATGGCCCCGCCTCTTTGTGCGCAATGCGGCGTGGCTGCGATATCCGTTGCGAGGCGGCCGCCACATTTAGCGTCAGTTGCGGATCGAGATCCATGCCGAGAAGCTTCGTAGTTCGCGATGCCCCCATGGTCATGACTGGAATTTTACATCCAGCCACTTCCAGCGGCCGCTTTCCTTTGCGATCATAGTTTGACTCCGTGTGCGTGGAGAGTGTGAACCAAGCGGCTTTGCACTTTGACGGGATGATGGCCAGGCCACTTTACTGGCCCCGCGCGTGCAGTTTTTTGAGGACCGTGTTGGCTGCAGGAATGGTGTCTTCCCGAGAGTGGCCGTTGATTACAATGGAGAGGTCGTCCGCGTGCATGTCTGCTGTGACGCCTGGGAAGCCGTTCAGCAGGTTGAGAAGTGGGTGTGCGTAAAGGGAGAAGAAACATGTGTTCCCAATACGGACCCCTGAGGAACTCCTCGCAGCGTGGAGGACCGATCGCCGTGTCTGTGGCCAACTCGTGTCTTCGCGTAGCGGCCACGCAGAAATTTTCCAAGCCACCTTCGGCAGTTCACCCCCGGAATATTGGCCGGCAAGCGACTGAGGACTCGATAGCCAGTGAACTCAAAGGCCTTGCTGGAGTCTACCAGCACCAACGGAGCCCGATGGGGTCTGCAGTGGAGCTGGCTTCCAGCACCGCTCTTCTTGGGAAGGTTCGCTTGGAAGTAATCGGTTCTGTTATGCTCCACTTCGTGTATCAGTTGTGCCAGCTGCATCGTCGTGGTACGCATACTACGGCACGCATGCTGGTGCGGACGAGGCGTCCACAGCCAAAGCAGTCTCCTCAATGCCATTTTCTCAGCGACCTTACCCACGATGGAAGGAAGGCTGATGGGTCGATATGACTCCGTTAGCGCCGGCGAATTACCGGGTTTTAAGAGTGGGACGATGGTGGCTCGTCGCCACTGGACCGGAATCGTGCCGGCTGTCCGGCTGTGGTTGATGCAGCGGAGAGGGAGTCGGAGACACTTCGTCGAAAGATGTGGTAGCGCCTCGCTGTGGACTTCGGCCGGCCCGGGGCCTTGCCGTACGGTGTGCTGCGCAGCGCTGCACGCAGTTCCGTACGATTAAAAGAGGCATCCAGAGAGAGGGGAGAGAAGGAACCTATCGAAGATGAGGCGGCCGACTCGTTGTTGTTCTGCGGCCTAAGAAGGGGAGGGAGAAGAAATACACAAGGACTTGTTTTCTCCGTTTTTTCCCGTTGGAAGACCCAATCGCCTTGCGAGGTGGGGAGGAATCCAAGATTGAGCGCATCCGCTGCTCTCCTTGCTGTCCTGAAATTATTCTTGCGGCCATCGCACATCAACGCCGTTGTGGGAGACGGAATTGATGTCTTTTTACGTCCGGAATGTATTTTTTAGGCGAGTGGTTTGCCTGGGTTTAACTTGCTGATGCGACGCCGATATTTGCTGCGCGAGCGCTCACTGAGTAGGAGGAAGAATTGGCTCCTTGCCCGTTGCGTCTCTGCTTCACGGTCGGGCGTCGGTAACTGCAGACAGCGGGCCTTGCTGTCGGTAGCAATCCGCTCTGCCTTCGCAAGAGTGTCGCCCCGGAGCTTGGGATCATCCTTGTGCATGCCGCGGGGTCAATGCCGTCGAAGTGAAACTGCAAGTGCTCTCGTAAAAGCTTTGATGCCGGTTGATTGCTTTTTATGGTCGCATGCTGGAAGTTGTGCGTCGAGGTCGTTGGCGAAGGACTCCCACTTTGACTTCCACCAGCTGTAGAAAACTCGACGTACCGAAGTGGGTGCCGAGGGCACGGTATCCTTAAGTGCCTGATGCGGCGTGAATGTCAACACATAGTGGTCACTGAGCGGCGGCACGTTGACTGCCCAGTCGGACACGGTAAGATGCCTTGACCATGTCCGGTCGATACAGGATCTCTCTCTTGCACCACGAGCATGCTTTGTTTCACCAGGGGTGTTAACCAAGGTGAGTCCTGCATCCGTGCGCGGTTGTATAAAATTCTACAGCGGAGTTGCTTGGAGGGGTCTCCAGGAAGGGCTCCCACCGTGGGCGACGCACGTTGAAATCTCCACACGGAATGAGCGGCGACGAGACCGAGAGGCAGCTCAGCAACCGCCTAGGGGTTGTGTCGGTTGCGGCGGTGGTCTCATATAGGTGCTCGCTACAATAAGATCACGGTTCTGGCCCAGCGCGAATTGTACCACCACCACTTCGAGGCTGGAATCACGTTGAGGAGTGATGAGGGGCATACGCTCGGAGCGGAGGTTTTTCCGCACCAGCACCGCTGCAACACATTCCTTGCGGATACGTGAATGTGCGTGGGGCACACACTCTCCAGTGTGCATGCTGGCGATCTGCTCCGCCGACTTCCAGGTCTCCCGGATGGCTATCATGTCTGCTCCTTGCGCCATTAATGTTGCGAGTTTGGCCGGCGTCAGTGAGGAAACGGTCATCTGGAGTGCTGCTATGGGGCTCGGGCTCCGCTCAACGTCCCCGCCTCGCAGTAGCTTTTGCCTCTGTGCGTCACTTACGGCACGCAGACGACACGTGTAGCGCTGGTAATCGCCGACGAAATCCGGCAGCAGTGAAACCCGCTCGTCCGTCGCATCGTCTGAATCCCACTTGCTGCGATCCCCACTGCCGTCTGCACACTTCGTGCTTGCGTGCCCCCTGGTGACCGGGATGTGGTTTGGCCCCTCGCGCTGTATGCGCTTGAATTGTCCTTTCGCGACTCTTCGCTTGTCTTGGCCCCTGGCCCCGGCGGTGTATTGAACGCGTTGCTGCGCCATCTTGTACCCGCAGCCCGCTGCTCGCTCAGAACGATGAGTGGCACCTCCCTTGCTGACGGCAGCCTGCGAAGTTCCTGGGAAACGGGGGACACTACTCGCATCCGCAGACACGGGAAGAACGCATGCCGCTCGGAGAGTTGTCGGCCCTCCCGCTGCTCTCTGTCCTGCTAGGGGTGAGCGAGGGACTGGTCCACCGCCGCCTGTCAGCGCTGCTGGCACGCCACCGACGTCAACCTCGATTAACGCCACGACGCACGGTCTCCGACGTGGTGACGCCTGTCCGTGACAAAACGGCACGAGGACTGAGCGAGCGCATCGCCGTGGAGTGTGGGCGTCGCAGGGGCGGCGTCCCGCGCTGCACCCTCACCGTCGCCGCTCTCTCGCAGTCGCGACCGGCATCTCGACTGCGTTCGACACCGTTGACGATGGGCGAGTGCTGGCTGTGCCCTGCGGGCTCCCGCGCCTGTGCTGTCGAGCCCAACACTGGTTGCGCAGCCACCTGGGAGGCGGCCGCGTTGGGGTGAGTGATCGCAAACAGTATTTCCGACAGTAGCTCGCCTCAGCCGGGGCAGCCCACTGCAGCACGCGGACAACACTGGTACGAGGAACACTTGTTTAGACGGGTGTGAGCTGCTGCCGTGCGTGGTGCATGGACTATTTGATTGTGTGGGGAGGTGCATGGAGTGACGAATACTTCTGTTTGGCGTGTCGCGGTGTGTCGGAATGATGTTCGGAAAGCATGTGAGGGGTGTTGTGTGTAGTTTGTGTGTCTTCTCTGGTGGAGCCGACATGTGTGCGGGGATTGTGGCATTGCTGGCTGACAGTTCCACGTCACTTTTCGGCATTCCTGGATGTGCTGAGGAATGACGGCTGGCGACCAGCGTGTTGGTGCTGCTGGTGGGAATAAGTACACGAGGAATTGGCCGTTTTCTCTTTCCCATGCTGGAGCCGATGAACTGGCACGAGGGCAGCGGCTGCAGGCTGCCTGCCAGCACGTGTGAGCAGCGGATCCATGCACACACGCAGACGCTCATCGCAAGAGCTTGTGCGATCACAGTGGCTTTTGTGGCGTGCTTTTGTGGGCGTCAGCCCGTCGGAGAATGTGTGAAGCAAACGGCTGACTGCACACGAGGAGAATAAGTGCGTGCACTGTGCCGTGTTTCGGCGTCGATGGCAGAGCGGCAGGAGGCCCGTGCTGGCAACTGAGATCTTTGCGTGGCGAGGGATGTCGGTGTTGATTTTGGATCGTCGAGGGTGAAATGAATTTGCTGCTGCCCGTGTGTGTGGCCACTCCGGCGGAGGGCGAACACAACAGGGAGGGATGCAGGCGCTGCGTGTGTGTGTGCCGGTGCCATGCAACAACGTCACAACAAACATGCTGCGACTCGGTGACCCTCACATCGTTGTGGTCCTGACGAACAGCCCGGGCACGGCCCGCATCGATGCACTTCGTGGACGGAGTGAGGCATCCTTTGAGGCGCAGCAGGGAGCAGGATGTGTTGACGCAGCCACGACGTGCATGGAGCGTCACGATGGCACAGCCGGCTGTGGCTGGTGGAATATTTACTTCTCGGAGGCAACAGAGAGAGAGAGCTGCTGCTGCTGGCGTCGTTGCTGCCTTTTGTGGCCTCCCGTGCCGATTATTGTCTGTCCGCTGATCATGGGTGGTGTGCCTCCACTAGTGACGTCGTCTGCAGGCATTCCACAGCACCAGCGAAACACACATCACGTCGCATGCCTTGGCTGTGGGTATGGTGTCGTGAATGCAGCCGGCATTATTTTGCCCGACCCCTTTTCACTGCCTTGCGACAAATAGATGCGTCACCGCCCGAGTCATTCACTGCAGCTCCGTGTGTTGTACTGCCGGCACAATACTCTCGTGTTGTCTGGCGCCTGGCTGACAGTCAAGCACCACTGCGCTGGGACATGCAGGGATGTGGACTGCCGCTCACGGTGTTGGGCACCGCTGTTTGGATGCGGCGGCCACACGAGCGGATGTATTGTGGCACAATGAAATGCGTGAAATACGCGGAATCATAGCGGCTGCAGTAATATCAACGGTGTGGCACCACGGAGTATGTGAGGGATGATGCACGATGAATCAGAGTGGGCGGCATGCGAGGGAAGTGCACCGCGACGGAGCGTCGCCCCGCCCTCAGCCTGCAGGGGAATGTACGCCCACAAAATATATGGTCGAGGCACCACCAAACACGCATGCCCTTCTGTGCAGCAATAAATAGGAGCGAAGGTGCGTTCTGGTGCGTGGGAGTCCACTCACATATTCCCATTTCCACCGCAATAAACGGCGAGGAATCAGGTGCCACAGCAACGAAGGAGGAAATAAAAACATCTATTGCGGCACTTTACCAGCGAAAAGCAGGAACAACGCAAATTGAATTATTGGCTGCACCAACACAATAAAAATTCACAAGAGAAGGAAACAGTTGTGCACACTGCAGGAACCCCAACACACGATGCAGGCATGAAGGTTTGCCCTCCGCAAAAACAATAACAACATATGCAGACATCCTCCACCCTCCAAAAAGAAACACAAATAAATGGCTGCTTTTTTCCATTCCTTGCGCTTGACTTTGCGTGTGCTGCTGCTGCTGCTGCGGTGGTGGCTGCGCTTCCCGTGGACCAACAATCCACGTGGTGTGCGAGGATCTATTCTTTTTCATGGTTACTTTGCTGTTGTGTTGCTGTGTGCGCTGCACCTATTTTCGTGTGTGCGTGCCCTCCGTGAGGGGTGCCGACACGACGGACCGCTCTCGCCGTATGTACATGCGGTGGAGCCTTGTGTGCCGCTCCTGTTTGCTTCTCCCTCCTCCATCTGTGTGTTGGTGTTGTGGCAGGGCTGTGTGTGTGTGTGCCTGCTGCCGTGGATTGGAGTGTGTGTCGTGCGTGGTGTGCGGCGTACGGTGCATGCCTGGCTGCTGCTCTCTTCTCATGTGTGTGTTTGCCCTCTGTGTGTCTGCCGCACCTCTCGTCTCCCCTGTTGCTCTCCATGTCCCTCACTGTGCAGATCAGCTCCACACCACTGAACGACCACACTCACGATGATGACGTGCCGTCTGCTGTGCGCCCTGCTGGTGCTCGCCTTGTGCTGCTGCCCGTCCGTTTGCGTGACAGGGACTGAAGGTAAAGCTGAAGAAGCTGGAGATCAAGATACGGACAGCTCCAGTTCATCGCCTGCTCAGCAACAGGAAGCAGGTGTTTCAGGACCCAATGAGACAGCGCCCCTAAGTCAGCCCAGTACTGTACAGACACAAGGTGAAAACCTCACATCACAAGTATCAGGTCCGGGTCCCGGTGTGCCAGGAAGTCCAGATACAACAAGTCCGCAGTCTATTTTAGAGCAGGAACAGCAACCAAGTGGGTCGGTTAGCGCGGCAGCAGCATCAAGTTCCGTGACCGCGCCTGTATCGGCACAAAGTGAGAGGGAAAATACGCCAACAACAACAACCACGACTACGACAAAAGCACCAACTACCACCACCACTACGACTACTGAGGCGCCAACTACAACGACCACTCGCGCACCGTCACTTCTTCGCGAAAGCGACGGCAGCCTCAGCAGCTCTGCGTGGGTGTGTGCCCCGCTGCTGCTCGCCGTATCCGCGCTGGCGTACACCACTCTGGGCTGAAGAATTGTGTGCGGGCTGTGCGTGCCATCACCCAACCGCGGGGACTTGTGTGCGTCCACTGTGGTCCGATGTGCTAAACAGGATAAAATAATGATTGTGTTTTGCTTCACTTGCTTCCGCTGCCCTGCTGTGTGCTCCTTGCCGCTCCCCGCATCCGTCACGTTGAACGCACCCCGGACACACTCATGTGCATGGCACGCACACAACTGATTGCGTGGAGTCGCATTTGAGGATGGGTGCGTGCGCGCTGGAGCCATACTGTGCAGCCCTTTGTTTTGTGTGTGTTTACATTTTAACTTCATTGCTGTTCGTTTACCTGTGTTTTGTTTCTAATTGTTTTGTGTGTTTTTCTGTTTGCTTGCTGCGGGGCGTTGTGTGTTTTTGCCCTTTCACTGCTTTCAACTGCCTCATGGTGTGTGTGCGCTGCCGCTGCTGGGCTGCTGCCATTTGTGACTGTGCGGTGGCTGTGCGTGGTGTAGCGGCCGTGTCTCTCCTTTTGTTTTCTGTGCTTTTGCAGGCGGATCCACAGCGTTGGGCGACTCCACTGTTTGTGGTGATGACTGGCCGTGTGCTCTGCGTCCTGTTGTCTCCTGCAGTGATGTGCAACAGCTCGTGCGTGTTTTTGACGGCTGCTGCGACGGTGTGTGTGTGCGGCCCGCTGGTGATGGCGCGGTGACTGCTGAGCACGCGCGGGCTGTGATGGCTGCGGAAGGAGGACCGTGGCCGGTGGCTCTGGACGAGAGGGGAACGTGAACTCTGAGGTTGATAGCAATCAGGAAGACGAGGAGGGTGGAGAAAACACGGCGGGTGAGGACCCTAATCCCACCGCCGCAGGACCACTCACTGCTCCGACGAGGCAGGATCAATCCTGCAGCGACCCACTGCGAAGTAACAATTGCAATCCGTCCGGCACTGGCAGCGCCTCTGCCGCTCAGATGCGTGCTAATGGACCGGAGTCTTTGGGCGGAGGGCACGCTGGTGGCGGGAGGACCTCCCAGGGAAGTGAGGCTTCGGAAAAACCGTCACGGGACAGTCACAGTGCCAGGGACGGCAAAGGAAACACCGCAAGACGATGAAGGAGGAGAACCCGGAGCGCAACACGAGGCCGACCAAACCACGAAAATGACTGTGATGACTTGTTGCGCAAAGCAGCAGTGGAGCAGGAGGGTCACCAGCGAGATCGCAAGGTGCGCCACGACCCGATGGTGGCGAGAATGCTCATTATTACTTTTCCCTACTCTTACCGGCGCGTCTAGCTATCCAATGCCTTCTGGGTGCCGAGGAGGCGGTTGAGCAGCGGAAAAAGCTTCCTGCTGTGAAGCAACTGCCACTGAGAGAACTTTTTGTTGCGTGGATCTTCCTCAATGACCAGCCGTTGGCGCGCAGCGGAGGTGCCTGGGCATTCTAGGAGCAGATGGCGAAAGGTTTCCTGCGTGTCAACTGGCGTGCCTGTGGAGGTTGGCTGATCCTGCAGTGGCAGCGACCGCTTCCTGGCACCACAGAACGAGTAGCGGTGAGTGTCTTGGCGAATGGTACAGCGCCACTTGTTGCTGGGCTGGGCAGTAAAGCATGTCAGCGGGTCCGTGTGCCATATGGGTGCGATTCCATGTTCCGTGTGTTGTCCGATTGCCATGGTCTGCGTCGCATGCTGAGCCGCAGGCTCGTTAGCATGCACTCCACAATGTCCGTAACAAAACTGCCGGTGCACGGACCGGCCGGCACGCATCGGTGTCAAGAGACGCTGCCAGATCCGGTCCTTGTTGAGGGCCGCTAGGAGAGACTGGCTTTGTGTTGCCACAAGCGGGGTTTTTACGCCTGCGCTGGATCCGAGGGATAATCAGCCACTCCAGGGTCAGGAGCAGCGCACTGGATTCCGTCCTGCAGCTTCAAGGGCGTGTGCCGCAGTTGTTACTTACTTTCCCTATTATCTGCGAGGAATGCAGGGATGAAGGCGGTATGCCAACGCAGGCTGGCGTGGGAACGTCGAAATCGCCATCCGTTGCGAGTATCCACGAGCGGTGGCTGTGCAGCGCTAGAGTCTCTTCGCGGACTCTGCGCATTTCCCGTATCAGTTCTTTTTCGTCGGTGATCGAGTGGTCTATCGGAAGTTCCACACCGATGGTGACCCGGTGAGCGGAGGCCGCAGACCAGGGAGGAATGGAGCCACGAAAGAACCGCTCTTCGCGTGGTGAGTCCTCGGTGATGCCGTAGCCCTTTGCGCATGCGTCTACGAAGGCATATGGCTCGTGCCGAGACAACGGCGGGATGCGGAAATCTGCGCGAGGCGAAGGCTCAGACGTTGATCTCCGCTCCCAGTCCATCTGACAATTGCGTGTGTTATCAAACATGGAGAGCCGCGTGCAGGCGGACGACGTGGAGCGGCGGTATATTTGCTTCTAGGAGTGCGGATTACTGGTCGACAGTGCTCGGAACTCCGCTGACAATGCGTGCCAGACCTGCGTACGTCTCTTGCATCTCATTCTTCGCTGAATCCGTCGCTACTGCCCATATGAGCTCGCTGCCGTAGCGCAATTTGGATGCGCCGTATCCGATGATGAACGTGCGTGGGTCATGTGGAGATGGCCCCGCCTCTTTATGCGCAATGCGGCGTGGCTAAGATATCCGTTGCGAAGTGGCAGCGCATTGCTTGGAGGCCGCCACATTTAGCGTCAGTCGTGGATCGAGATCCATGCCGAGAAGCTTCGTAGTTCGCGATGCCCCCATGGTCATGACTAGGATTTTACATCCAGCCACTTCCAGCGGCCACTTTCCTTTGCGATCATAGTTTGACTCCGTGTGCGTGGAGAGTGTGAACCAAGCGGCTTTGCACCTTGACGGGTTGATGGCCAGGCCATTTTACTGGCCCCGCGCGTGCAGTTTTTTGAGGACCGTGTTGGCTGCAGGAATGGTGTCTTCCCGAGAGTGGCCGTTGATTACAATGGAGAGGTCGTCCGCGTGCATGTCTGCTGTGACGCCTGGGAAGCCGTTCAGCAGGTTGAGAAGTGGGTGTGCGTAAAGGGAGAAGAAACATGTGTTCCCAATACGGACCCCTGAGGAACTCCTCGCAGCGTGGAAGACCGATCGCCGTGTCTGTGGCCAACTCGTGTCTTCGCGTAGCGGCCACGCAGAAATTTTCTAAGCCACCTTCGGCAGTTCACCCCCGGAATATTGACCGGCAAGCGACTGAGGACTCGATGAGCAATGAGCTCAAAGGCCTTGCTGGAGTCTACCAGCACCAACGGAGCCCGATGGGGTCTGCAGTGGAGCTGGCTTCCAGCACCGCTCTTCTTGGGAAGGTTCACTTGGAAGTAATCGGTTCTGTTATGCTCCACTTCGTGTATCAGGTGTGCCAGCTGCATCGTCGTGGTACGCGTACTACGATATGCATGCTGGTGCGGACGAGGCGTTTACAGCCAAAGCAGTCTCCTCAATGCCATTTTCTCAGCAACCTTACCCACGATGGAGGGAAGGCTGATGGGTCGATATGACTCCGTTAGCGCCGGCGAATTACCGGGTTTTAAGAGTGGGACGATGGTGGCTCGTCGCCACTGGACCGGAATTGTGCCGGCTGTCCGGCTGTGGTTGATGCGGCGGAGAAGGAATCGGAGACACTTCGTCGAAATATGTGGTAGCGCCTCGCTGTAGACTTCGTCCGGTCCGGGGCCTTGCCGTACGGTGTGTTGCGCAGCGCTGCACGCAGTTCCGTTTGATTAAAAGAGGCATCCAGAGAGAGGGGAGAGAAGGAACCTATCGAAGATGAGGCGGCCGACTCGTTGTTGTTCTGCGGCCTAAGAAGGGGAGGGAGAAGAAATACACAAGGACTTGTTTTCTCCGTTTTTTCCCGTTGGAAGACCCAATCGCCTTGCGAGGTGGGGAGGAATCCAAGATTGAGCGCATCCGCTGCTCTCCTTGCTGTCCTGAAATTATTCTTGCGGCCATCGTACATCAACGCCGTTGTGGGAGACGGAATTGATGTCTTTTTACGTCCGGAATGTATTTTTTAGGCGAGTGGTTTGCCTGGGTTTAACTTGCTGATGCGACGCCGATATTTGCTGCGCGAGCGCTCACGGAGTAGGAGGAAGAATTGGCTCCTTGTCCGTTGCGTCTCTGCTTCACGGTCGGGCGTCGGTAACTGCAGACAGCGGGCCTTGCTGTCGGTAGCAATCCGCTCTGCCTTCGCAAGAGTGTCGCCCCGGAGCTTGGGATCATCCTTGTGCATGCCGCGGGGTCAATGCCGTCGAAGTGAAACTGCAAGTGCTCTCGTAAAAGCTTTAATGCCGGTTGGTTGCTTTTTATGGTCGCATGCTGAAAGTTGTGCGTCGAGGTCGTTGGCGAAGGACTCCCACTTGGACTTCCACCAGCTGTAGAAAATTCGACGTACCGAAGTGGGTGCCGAGGGAATGGTGTCCTTAAATGCCTGATGCAGCGTGAATGTCAACACATAGTGGTCACTGAGCGGCGGCACGTTGGCTGTCCAGTCGGACACGGTAAGATGCCTTGACCATGTCCGGTCGATACAGGATCTCTCTCTTGCACCACGAGCATGCTTTGTTTCACCAGGGGTGTTAACCAAGGTGAGTCCTGCATCCGTGCGCGGTTGTATAAAATTCTACAGCGGAGTTGCTTGGAGGGGTCTCCAGGAAGGGCTCCCACCGTGGGCGACGCACGTTGAAATCTCCACACGGAATGAGCGGCGACGAGACCGAGAGGCAGCTCAGCAACCGCCTAAGGGTTGTGTCGGTTGCGGCGGTGGCCTCATATAGGTGCTCGCCACAATAAGATCACGGTTCTGGCCCAGCGCGAATTGGACCACCACCACTTCGAGGCTGGAATCACGTTGAGGAGTGATGAGGGGCATGCGCTTGGAGCGGAGGTTTTTCCGCACCAGCACCGCTGCAACACATTCCTTGCGGATACGTGATTGTGCGTGGAGCACATACTCTCCAGTATGCATGCTGGCGATCTGCTCCGACGACTTCCAGGTCTCCTGGATGGCTATAATGTCTGCTCCTTGCGCCGTTATTGTTGCGAGTTTGGCCGGCGTCAGTGAGGGAACGGTCATCTGGAGTGCTGCTATGGGGCTCGGGCTCCGCTCAATGTCTCCGCCTCGCAGTAACTTTTGCCTCTGTGCGTCACATACGGCACGCAGACGACACGTGTAGCGCTGGTAAGCGCCGACGAAATCCGGCAGCAGTGAAACCCGCTCGTCCGTCGCATCGTCTGAATCCCACTTGCTGCGATCCCCACTGCTGTCTGCACACTTCGTGCTTGCGTGCCCCCTGGTGACCGGGATGTGGTTTGGCCCCTCGCGCTGTATGCGCTTGAATTGTCCTTTCGCGACTCTTCGCTTGTCTTGGCCCCTGGCCCCGGCGGTGTATTGAATGCGTTGCTGCGCCATCTTGTACCCGCAGCCCGCTGCTCGCTCAGAACGATGAGTGGCACCTCCCTTGCTGACGGCAGCCTGCGAAGTTCCTGGGAAACGGGGGACACTACTCGCATCCGCAGACACGGGAAGAACGCATGCCGCACGGAGAGTTGTCGGCCCTCCCGCTGCTCTCTGTCCTGCTAGGGGTGAGCGAGGGACTGGTCCACCGCCGCCTGTCAGCGCTGCTGGCACGCCACCGACGTCAACCTCGATTAACGCCACGACGCACGGTCTCCGACGTGGTGACGCCTGTCCGTGACAAAACGGCACGAGGGCTGAGCGAGCGCATCGCCGTGGAGTGTGGGTGTCGCAGGGGCGGCGTCCCGCGCTGCACCCTCGCCGTCGCCGCTCTCTCGCAGTCACGACCGGCATCTCGAATGCGTTCGACGCCGTTGACGATGGGCGAGTGCTGGCTGTGGCCTGCGGGCTCCCGCGCCTGTGCTGTCGAGCCCAACACTGGTTGCGCAGCCACCTGGGAGGCGGCCGCGTTGGGGTGAGTGATCGCAAACAATATTTCCGACAGTAGCTCGCCTCAGCCGGGGCAGCCCACCGCAGCACGCGGACAACACTGGTACGAGGAACACTTGTTTAGACGGGTGTGAGCTGCTGCCGTGCGTGGTGCATGGACTATTTGATTGTGTGGGGAGGCGCATGGAGTGACGAATACTTCTGTTTGGCGTGTCGCGGTGTGTTGGAATGATGTTCGGAAAACATGTGAGGGGTGTTGTGTGTAGTTTGTGCGTCTTCTCTGGTGGAGCCGACATGTGTGCGGGGATTGTGGCATTGCTGGCTGACAGCTCCACGTCACTTTTCGGCATTCCTGGATGTGCTGAGGAATGACGGCTGGCGACCAGCGTGTTGGTGCTGCTGGTGGGAATAAGTACACGAGGAATTGGCCATTTTCTCTTTCCCATGCTGGAGCCGATGAACTGGCACGAGGGCACCGGCTGCAGGCTGCCTGCCAGCACGTGTGAGCAGCGGATCCATGCACACGCAGACGCTCATCGCAAGAGCTTGTGCGATCACAGTGGCTTTTGTGGCGTGCTTTTGTGGGCGTCAGCCCGTCGGAGAATGTGTGAAGCAAACGGCTGACTGCACACGAGGAAAATAAGTGCGTGCACTGTGCCGTTTTTCGGCGTCGATGGCAGAGCGGCAGGAGGCCCGTGCTGGCAACTGAGATCTTTGCGTGGCGAGGGATGTCGGTGTTGATTTTGGATCGTCGAGGGTGAAATGAATTTGCTGCTGCCCGTGTGTGTGGCCACTCCGGCGGAGGGCGAACACAAAAGGGAAGGATGCAGGCGCTGCGTGTGTGTGTGCCGGTGCCATGCAACAACGTCACAACAAACATGCTGCGACTCGGTGACCCTCACATCGCTGTGGTCCTCACGCACAGCCCGGGCACGGCCCGCATCGATGCACTTAGTGGACGGAGTGAGGCATCTTTTGAGGCGCTGCAGGGAGCAGGATGTGTTGACGCAGCCACGACGTGCATGGAGCGTCACGATGGCACAGCCGGCTGTGGCTGGTGGAATATTTACTTCTCGGAGGCAACAGAGGGAGAGAGCTGCTGCTGCTGGCGTCGTTGCTGCCTTTTGTGGCCTCCCATGCCGATTATTGTCTGTCCGCTGATCATGGGTGGTGTGCCTCCACTAGTGACGTCGTCTGCAGGCATTCCACAGCACCAGCGAAACGCACATCATGTCGCATGCTTTGGCTGTGGGTATGGTGTCGTGAATGCAGCCGGCATTATTTTGCCCGACTCCTTTTCACTGCCTTGCGACAAATAGATGCGTCGCCGCCCGAGCCATTCGCTGCAGCTCCGTGTGTTGTACTGCCAGCACAAGACTCTCGTGTTGTCTGGCGCCTGGCTGACAGTCAAGCACCACTGCGCTGGGGCATGCAGGGATGTGGACTGCCGCTCACGGTGTTGGGCACCGCTGTTTGGATGCGGCGGCCACACGAGCGGATGTATTGTGGCACAATCAAATGCGTGAAATACGCGGAATCACAGCGGCTGCAGTAATATCAACGGTGTGGCACCACGGAGTATGTGAGGGATGATGCACGATGAATCAGAGTGGGCGGCATGCGAGGGAAGTGCACCGCGACGGAGCGTCGCCCCGCCCTCAGCCTGCAGGGGAATGTACGCCCACAAAATATATGGTCGAGGCACCACCAAACAAACATGCCCTTCTGTGCAGCAATAAATAGGAGCGAAGGTGCGTTCTGGTGCGTGGCAGTCCACTCACATATTCCCATTTCCACCGCAATAAACGGTGAGGAATCAGGTGCCACAGCAACGAAGGAGGAAATAAAAACATCTATTGCGGCACTTTACCAGCGAAAAGCAGGAACAACACAAATTGAATTATTGGCTGCACCAACACAATAAAAATTCACAAGAGAAGGAAACGGTTGTGCACACTGCAGGAACCCCAACACACGATGCAGGCATGAAGGTTTACCCTCCGCAAAAACAATAGCAACATATGCAGACATCTTCCACCC